ATTTCTCAAATATATAAATAAAATAAGCTTTGCGTCGTTATCGTTATTAGGTTTTTATATGGAAATCCTGATCGGAATTCATCGACGGCCACGTCTATCGGGCATCATATTACCGCATTCTGAATCATTTCCACTTCGGGAATGGTTTATTTCATATTCGGAAACATTATGCAACGGTTTTTTTTTTGTTTGAAAAACATACAATGACGTTTTATCATTATTTATTTATTTATTTTATTTATGTCAAATAAACAAAAAAAAGTAAAATACAAGTATGGTTAATAAAAGTTTCCAGATTATAGTTTTATAGATAGTTTAAAAATTTAAAATATTAACCAGCCTAGCCGTACCAAAATTATCGACTTTGCTTATAAAAATTTTTTAATCACATTATTCCCATTTACCATTTTCCCCATTTTTCCCTCATTTATTTACATTGTCACCAATTAATTTAAACTCAATCCCGTCAATCTTTAATTTCTTATCCGATTCACCACTATTTTTTTCTGTTGCTTTCTTATTCATCCTTTTTATTGTACTACGTTTCAGTTTAATTTTGAAAGCAGCATCTAAAAGTAAGTCGGGCGTTAATAGTTCGTGTGGAATTGAACCCAAAAATTCTAAAATTTCTGAAGTTGACGGGCAATGGCTTAATATGTAATCTCGTGTACAATCCAGAATCGCTAGTCCAATTCTGAAAAATAGCTTGACACCTATAAAAATTAGTTATTAGAAATGAGGAAAAAAATATAAAAAGGGCATGTAAAGACGGTTTAAAATTTACCTTCAAAATAAAATACATCCCATACTCGAAGAACTGATGCCCATGGTAAAACCATAGTAAATAACGTCAAAAACCATTTCGGAATATACAGTATTGGATCAACACCCTCATTTTTCTATTATATATATTATTTTTAAAAAAACCGTTTAGTTTGATTATAGGCAATCAAAAAATGAGCGATTTAGATGAATAAGAATTTTTGATTACAAAATGTTGCGCCAGCTTGGGATCATGTTCGAATAATAGCAAATCAAATATGCGAGAATCTACTTTAATTTGCGGTAAATCTGGAGCAAAGTAACCACCCATATACTCTTCTATCGTAGCAACAAGAAGCCAAAATGTATCTTCTGCAGGCATCTGCATTAGCATCATTCCAACTAGACGTCCCATACCCTGACAATACCCTACTACAGTATCATAATGTGCATATGCTTTCAATATATTAAAAAGATCTTCTTGACCAAAACCTTTTTCACGGAAGTGAATATGATCAGGGTAACACCTATCAATGTCTTTCTCGATATCATCATATATTGGCAATTTTTCTTTATCTCGTAATTTCTGTTAGATAAAAAAAGAAAAGATTTGTTAATCTATAATAATGAACAATAAAACATCATTAAATAATTGTTAGATAATTGTTAGAAAGGCATACATCAAAAACATCCTTTTTACGATATTTGTGGACTCCAGCCATGAATTGCCAAGCTTTGCCACGTACAGACTCTGGAATACCGAGACGAACTAACTTCTTGATCTGTTAATAAGTGATAAATATTGAATATTGATTAAATGTTTTAAAAAAAAGTATTGTAATAATTGTCGCGGCTGATGTTGAAATTGAAATTTGGGGTCCCAATTTTAAAATATAGGCCCTGCTAGAATCCTCATATACTCTTTAATTTATAAATTCTAACCCTAAATCCTAAACTAACTATAAAAAACAAACACCCCAAAATTTTTTTAACATTTCGTATCAAAATAGGACCAAATATCAGCATCAGCCAATTTCAGCATCAACCACGACAATAATTATTTAGTGAATTTACCT